TCACAGATTTAGGACTAGTTCTGAAAGACCATGTCCTTTCCTGCCTAAATGCTAATACATAACTTACATAACTCTGAACTCTTTTGTAGTCTTAAAGCAATGACTTCAAATTTATTTCACTAATTCTTTCGAGTTTCTCCCCCACCTTTTTTTTTTTTTTTGAGATGGAGTCTTGCTGTCACCCAGGATGGAGTACAGTAGCATGATCTCAGCTCACTGCAACCTCCACCTCCTGAGTTCAATCGATTCTCCTGTCTCAGGCCCCCCCAGTAGCTGGGATTACAGGTGCATGCCATCATGCCTGGCTAATTTTTGTATTTTTAGTAGAGACAGGATTTCACCATATTGGCCAGGCTGGTCTTGAACTCTTGACCTCGTGATCTGCCCACCTCAGCCTCCCAAAGTGCTGGGATTACAAGCGTGAGCCACCGTGCCTGGCAGAGTCTTTCCCACTTAAGTAACTGGTTTATACATTCTGAGATGCATGTCTAAGACTGCTCTTTCAATTATAAATGAAACCACATTTTAATTACTGAATTAACAAAGCCTCCTCGGCTGTAAAAGAGAGCAGATGGGATGATTAACAGCAGCAGTTGTATCAATGCCCAAAAAATTACAAGCATGCCATAAATTAGTTTTAAACTTTACATGCCTCAGCTTCAAAATTCTTCAGCACCCCTCTCTGTCTCCAATATGCAACAAAATAAAAGATGAAGATTAATTTAAATTAGTAAAATGCTATTGAAGTTGGCTGGACACAGTGGCTCACACCTGTAATCCCAGCACTTTTGGAGGCTAAGGCAGGTGGATCCCTTGGGGTCAGGAGTTTGTGACCAACCTGGTCAACATGGTAAAACTCTGTCTCTACTAAAAATACAAAAATTAGCCAGGGATGGTAGTGCGTGCCTATAAGCCCAGCTACTCAGGAGGCTGAGGCAGGAGAATCACTTGAACCCAGGAGGCAGAGGATGCAGTGAGCTCAGATTGTGCCACTGCACTCCAGCCTGGACAAAAAGACTGAGAATCTGTCTCAAAAACAAAAACAAAAGCTATTAAGTCATTAAGTATCTATTTGATGGCTTTAGCTAATCAAATAAATATTACTAGTTTTGTTGTTGTTTTGGGATGGGGTTTCACTCTTTTGCCCAGACTAGGTGCAGTGGTGCAATCCCAGTTCACCACAGCCTCAAGCTCCTGGGCTCAAGTGATCCTCCCACCTCAGCCTCACAAGTAGCTGGGACTACAGGCTTACACCACCATGCCAGGTTTATAATAGTTAGTTTTGACTTTGATCAACTGTATTACCCATTTTTAAGGTCAACTTTTCTAATCCACTATTAGATTTTGTGGGTTTTTTTGTTTTTAGAGTAATTCCAGTTTACAAAATGCTCACCAACAAATACAGCTCATGCCTTCAAAAAGTAAGCACTTTTTAAATGTTTATTATGGAAGGAACTGTTCTAAGTGCTTTGTAGGCATTTTAATTTAATCTTCACAGTAGTGGTAGAGGTAAATACTAATTTTATTCACTTTTTCTTTTTTCTTGAGATGGAGTCACAGTCTTGTCACCCAGGCTGGAGTGCAGTGGCATGATCTCAGCTCACTGCAACTTCAGCCTTCTGGGTTCAAGCAATTCTCCTGCCTCAGCCTCCCGAATAGCTGGGACTACAGGCACCCACCATCGTACCTGGCTAATTTTAGTATTTTTAGTAGAGACAGGGTATCGCCATGTGGGCCAGTCTGGTCTTGAACTCCTGACCTCAAGTGATCTGCCCACCTCTGCCTCCCAAAGTGCTGGGATTATAGGCATGAGCCACCTCGCACCTCACCCAGCCATATTACTCACTTTTTACAGGTGAGGAAGCTGTAGAAAGTAATTAAGTACTGTGTCCAAGAATAAACTAGCAAACCATAGAGCCTAGTTTAAATCAGACTTCAAAGTCTACCCTCTTACTTTAATCTTCAATGTTCTTCTTTAAAATACCACAAGCACTTCAATCCTCTATCTTCTCTGGCTCACAACTAAAGCATTAATTGGATTATAATTTGTTCTTTATGGCTGTTTAACAAGACAGTTAAACTAGTGAGGTATCTTGGGGTCTTGGCTTCCTAAAGATGATGAACATGAGGTTGGGTGGCTAGAAAAATGGCTTACAGGTGGTATTTTAGTTTCCTTAGTAACTCAAGTTTTCTTAGATCATATCTAAATAAAAATAATTATGCTTTCTGTGGTAGAACAAGGTCATTCTGACCTCCTTACCTCCCTTTTAGCTGGAAATTAGACAAAGGATTTTTACAGTCTTACAAAAAAAGAGGTATTGATAACTCCACAAAGTATGGTAAGATGAATTAAACTGAAGCCTCCTGTACTTCTTTTTTTAAAATTCTATTTATTTATTTAGAGACAGAGTCTTGCTCTGTCGCCTAGGCTGGTGTGCAGTGGTGCAATCTTGGCTCACTACAACCTCTGCCTCTGGGGTTCAAGTGATTCTTGTGTCTCGGCCTCCCTATGTGGGATTACAGGCGCACACCACCATGCCTGGATAATTTTTGTACTTTTAGTAGAGATGGGGTTTCGCCATGTTGGCCAGGCTGGTCTCGAACTCCTGGCCTCCGGTGATCCTCCTGCCTTGGCCTCCCAGAGTGCTGGGATTACAAGTGTGGGCCACCGCACTTGGCTACTGCTTTAGATAACTCTAGAAAATAACTCCTCACCCTTCCAAGTTCCTTTTTGGAAAATAAATCGTTTGCCTATGTAACCAATCACTTTCAGTGTCAGAGTTTCTGTTTTCATATTCTCAGTCTGTATATCATTCAAGCGGTTTTAAGGAAGAGACTAAATATTTTAACATGCAAAAAGACTAAACCAGCATCAAGAACTATTATTTCTCATGGCGAGTGGCATGCACCTGCAGTCCCAGCTACTTGGGAGAAAGGGAGGATCCATTGAGCCTAGAAGTTCAAGACAAGCCTGGGCAACACAGGGAGACTACATCTCCAAAAACAAACAAAAAGTTTTTCCTGTTTTATGACAGTCGCAAAAAGTTATTATTTTTCAGAATAACAGACTTCATTTGACAGTTTTAGTTGTTTTATTAGAATTATCAATCACCTTATAAGCTGAAATTATGGACTCAATTTCTGAATACAGGACAGTGAAAATCTGACATAAATGAAGAAAGCCTCAAACTTTTTCAGACCACATGTTGCATAAAGAATTTATAGCTGTTTTATTTAGTTGGTTGCCCACTGAGTAGCTACTAAGAAGAGAAGCATTATGCAAAACAGATAAATTCACAGGCCCAGCATTGAATTTTACGCATAGAACCACCTGTTCCAAGTGGTATGAGTAAATATTCTCATAAAACAGGCCAAAACATCTCTACTGGTTCCATAACTGATTACTGATTTCCACATTACAAAGAATAGTTTTTTCCACCTAACTCTCATTAGAGACCCGGATATTTATTATTGAGGCAGGAGAATAGGGTCTGGAGGCAGGGGACTTAAGGGCAATTTGTGCTGAATCAAGGAAAAACACTAAGGTTTAGGGGCAGGGAATCTGAGGCCAATTTATGCTTTCTTTTTTTTTTTTTTTTTCTTTCTTTTTTTTTTTTTTTTTTTTTTTTTTTTTTTTTTTTTTTTTTAAGACGGGGTTTCACCATGCTGGCCAGGATGGTCTCGATCTGCTGACCTCGTGATCCACCCGCCTCGGCCCCCCAAAGTGCTGGGATATGCTAACTTTCTAAAATAGTAAACATCAAGGTCTGGGGACAAGGAATCTAAGGCCAACTCGTGCTGACTTCCCAGAGGACAGAGAATCTAAGGGAACCTAAGGCCAATTAAGGACAACTTCCTAAAGCTAAACCAAAAGGAAAAACCCCCACAATCAAATGGCAAAGGGTCAAAGGCTCTATCCCTGCAACCCTCCTCTTCCACCACTTCTCAGATGGAAAGGAAGAGTGCCTTAGATCGGCCGGGCCAAGCAGGGACCATTCGTTCATCTGTACAGGACGCTAATTCACCACAGTCTTTAATTAGCCACATACCAAATCCTTTATCTAGATAAGGGGTAACCCATAGGAACCCCAAAAGGAGCACTTAAAACCCAGAAAACTTTGTAAGTAGGCTCTTGAGCCCCTTGCTCCGGCCCACTCCCATTCTGTGGAGTGCTTTCTCCCTTTGATAAATTCCTACTTTCGCTGCTACGTTTCTGTTTCATTCCTTTGCTATTTTGTGCGTTTTGTCCAATTATTTGTTCAAAACGCCAAGAACCCGGACTTACAGTCAAGGCCCTCCTATTACTAACGCTACGGGAAAACACCATTACCTCCTCACATTTCAGATTTGCTCCCAACGAGGTACTTGGGCACTTGAACGCATCCCTTTAAAAGGAAGAAAGCTTTCTGATCCGTATAGTGGTTTATCTGGCAGAACCTCTCCACCAGCCTCTGATCTCTGGCCTGATTTTCCCAGAGATCGGAAGAATCACAACTTTTGTAAAGTAAGATCCAGAAAGGGCCTTTGGTTATTGTCGGTAAATGCCGGGCTAATGAAAGAATTGGTGGGCGGGTCACCACCCCAGGCTACTCCACGTAACGTTATTCATCTTAGAAGGAGTAAGACTGGAGAAAGGTCTGGATCCCATTCGCTTATTCTGACCGACTAAATCAGCCTTGGCAGGACAAGACCAGCAAAATAACTCCGTGGATCCGTGCAGTCACCACACTGCAGGGTCAAAGGACGGCGTCGGCGGCTCTTGGCTATTAGGGACCTAGCTGACGAAGGCACCACAACCCTTATTCTTTACTATTCCCGACTAGGGGCCGGGAAGCCAGGCCCTACCGCTCTGAGCCCATCCAGGGTCCCCGGGCCCGGACTGCTGACACCGAGGCAAGATCTCACCGGGCCCACTCTCCCCAACCTCCCCGATTCTCGCTTAGCCTCGCTTCCCTTTTGGGGTGCCCTCTCGCCTGCTACCCCAAGGGGTGAGAACTCACAACCATCGCGGCGCCGGTGAAAATGTCCTCCCCCTCGGTGTCGCTGTCCCCAGCCTCGGGTTCTGATCCCCCGGCCGCCCCCTCGGACTCCGGCTCCGGGCCGGGGAAGGGCGGAGGGAGTCTCTGCGAAGCGCTACAACCACCACCACCCGACGCCATCTTCCTCCACTCGCGGCGGAAGCCGCAACAACAACTTTATCGAGAGATAGCGCCGTGAGCAAAGCGATCCAACGGTGCGAGGAGTGGGAGGGCCGCAAGGGACCCCGTGGGATCCGAGGGGCGGAGGCGCAAGGGCGGGGCCTAGGCGCTGGGTGCGGCGCGGCACCCTGCCAGGGGAGGATGCCCTGCAAATCAGAA